GCTTTCAGGGGCTTCCTGATTGTTTTTTGTCTTCAAAACCTTATCGTATTTTCTTGAAGTTCCTGTACCTTTGGTACACTTGTGAAGATGAAAGTCAGCTTCTCCATAAGCTTTTCTCACCATTTCCAAAATTTCTGATGCACTTTTACCCAATTTCACACAAAATGTTATCATGAATCACTGTTCCAAACTTACTTGCATTTTTCTTAATATGAGGTACTTGAACAAAGTGTCATCACAAAAAGGAATGTCTCGACTCTGACAAGGGTGGAATGAAACTGATCAGTTTCCTAATGTATCCCTGGCACCCCACCCCAAGTGACCTTGACCAGCTTCTCCCGTCAAAGCAAAGCCCTTCTTAAGTGTGAGAAATTCATTCTCTTTTTATTCTGGACATACTCATAGATATTGAAGTCTGGACTTCAGATGTGCTTTCTGATCAGGGTTGCACTGAGCAGTTATCAAAAGTCCTTATGGTGATGCTTTTCCCTGCCAACACTTCCATGTTTCCCCATAGTCTTGGCCATTTTTGAAGAAGAGAAATGGTGGAATCAGACAGTATAGCTGCAGGATTTCTTTTGCTTATCGTTGTCAAGTTTCCATATGGATTCACGTCAAGGGTCCTCTGGGGCTGGAGAGCAGTTAAGGGAGAGAAGTAGCCCTTTCAGTTGTGGCCTCTTGATTATAAAGTACCTTCTTAAGAAAGAGATTCTCTCTCCACCTTCCTTTCCAACACTTAAATGTTCTAATCAAAGCACTGGAAAGAAGTATATTGGTAGTGCCTTCACCCCACACTCAAAAGACCTGAAATGAGTAAATCTAGCCATCCATGCAACACAGGTGTCACTGGGACTAGGCCCTAGAGGTTCTTCCTAAGTCCAGGATTTAGTTCTATCAACCCAAACATTAACTTTTTCTAACGATGAGGCTTCTCTTTCTTGCCAGACAGCACCTCGTTCCAGATGTGTGGAGAACTGTAGTCCTGGCTATGTCCAGGAGGTCCAGGAAGGGAAGCCACCTTGCTGCTATGCTTGTAATCCATGTGCAGAGGAGACTGTCTCCAATGAGGAAGGTTTGTGTCCTTAGAGGAAAGGGGGTTGATTTATTTATTTCAAACTTTTATATGCTGTCCCTTATGCATGGCACATCAGAATGGCTTGCATTCATTAAAACAACCACAACAAAACAGCAATTTTAACATAATAAATAAAACTTAACTGAAATACAAATTAAATAAGTTAAATTAAAGCTACTGTTAAACATTAAATTTTAAATTTGTTTGTAAAATAACAGTTAAATAAAAAGTTTTAACATGGTGCCAAAAATAATATCAGCTTGACTCCTGGTGAATCTCCCTAGGGTGTGCATTCCATAATCTGGACCCTCCACAGAGAAGGCCCTCCTCTGAGTAGATATCCTTTTTCCCTCCTTCAGGGAGGGTTCTCGGAGCTGGGAATCACCTGCAGATCATGAGGGACATGAGTGCATCCAAGGGTTCCCTTGAGAATTAGATCAAAAAGCTGAGTCTGCATTGCAAATCTGTAATTTGTAATTGGAGGTTCTCTTGCTGAACCACCACCTACTCTGATGACGTGAGCAGAGGAGTTTTCTTTTCAGTTGTGGCACCATTCACATGAAATGCCCTAATCAGAAAGGCATAATTGCTGCCATAGTGCAGTCGTCCCAGTGCTGCAGTCAAAGGTGTCACATTGGGTTCT